TGTTCTGCGCTGACCTGTACACGTGCGCAAATGAGGATTTAGACTAAGAAACTGCCGGTTTGTTGTTTTATTACAACACCGGCCTGTGTGATCATTTTTTCGTGGTTTGAGCAAGTGCATCGTAAAAACAATGTAAAATGCTAACGTCGTGCAGTTCACAGGCCCATTAAACAGGGCATGTAAAATTTGTCCCATGATTTTAGCCGAAAACATCAATTATAGGACACTGGTGATTCATTATAATTAAAATGTTGACATCTCGCCAGGCAATGGCGTTAGTAGTAGTAGGGTATTAACGCAGGCCTATCTGTTCTCTGTCTGCCTTTTCGCTAAACAACGTTATTGCTGAGCACCAAGACACATGATTAACTGTTTTTTTATTTTTATTTTTATAATTGGGCTGTCATGTCTGAGAGTAGCGTGCAAAGTAGGCTACAGCCAGTCAGTTAGAGGACAGGGCCCGACCAGCTCTTTAAGGTTAAGCAAAATTATTTTAATGTTGCTACAAAGAGTTAAAATTAAACATTTATATATGTTCTCCCTTGTGCTGGGCCGTGTGCGTGTTTAGTATGTAGTTTATGCCAGTTTTGTCTTCTTCTTCTCCTTCACTCACTGTGTAATGGTCTACTGTATGGAGGCCGAAAGAGAAAAGTTGTTTATATGTTCTGATTAACTGATAAGACAAAGAAGCTCGCTTGTATCTTTTTAGTTTTTGGGTAAATCACCACACACACAGCACTTGCATAGGTCTATGCATTATCCGTTTAAAGGGAGCCTTGGACAATGGCGTGCGCAATGCAGTGTTTCAGAATCTACAGGATGCCACAGTTTTATCTCACTAGTCTAGATTGGCTCCGGTTCCCCCTGACACGTGTGGTTTGAGAAAAAGGCCTCCTTGTTGCTTAAGACTTTAAGAAATAGGTAGCTTTATAAAGATCTTGCCCACTCAAAAAAAAAAAAAAAACAAAAAAAAAAAAGCACAGTTTAACGGGCCCGCGAGAGAAGAGAGCGCGCCGTGCGTAAAAGCTGTCAAGCGGAAACAACTATTTATAGTTCAGGCCATTTTTAGCACATAGTCTTCAACAGTCTATTTTAATTCTATAACTTTCTACAATGATATGTTATGTATGTTTATAGTAGGCCTGTGTCTAAAGAACACCAGACTTGTCTTTCACATAAACACTTCTCCTAACGCCCCTGTTGCTTTTATAGTCTAGTTTCTGCGTTTCCACAACTAAATGTTGATGACGCAAAGAATAGTTTTTCTACAATACCGGGAATCTTGTGGACTACAAACGTCTCTTTCCCGGGAGGACTGTAATTGTAACTGTACCAGAGAAACGCGACTCAGCACAGTGCAACTATTATTTAGACCCACATGCGCGCTCATGTAGCCTATTAGATCCTGTCCAATAACAGTCTAAACCCGAAAGTCTTTATCCCAAACAAGCTCCTGTTTGCGTGGGAGGCGTCCACGGAATCTGTGCATGCGTGTGAGCATCCACATTCCTGGAGACAAGTGTATTAATCAGCTTTGAAAGAGTACGTCTAGCCGCTCGCAAGCATCGTGCGTAATAGAACGCACACAATTCACGCATGCACACACGCGCCCCCGTCCTCTTGGCTCCGGTTGTCCCTTTAAAAATCCGAATCCAAGGCCAATGATTTATCAAACTCCTATTATCAAGAAAATGTCATGCGAAGGGCACCTTGCGCTGCACTGACGCAAACTCCAGTCTTTCCCACGGAGCTATAGAAGAGCTTTGCACTTGGCGCTGTGCGCGTCTACAACCACTTCGCTTCCTGTCCTCTCCTCGTCTTTCTACAGCTGTTTTCAGCGTGCCACAAGAGTCCTGCAAAAATGGTAAGTGTCTAAAACACATTCTTTACTTTTCCGCATGCAGTTTCATCTGCCTTCTAAACTTGTTCTCGGGTGTTTTCATGTTTATTTGACACTTTAAGAGCAGCGTGCTACGTTGTGTAGGGTAACTGCGCTGTCCGTGGTACTGAAATGCAGCTGCATCTGCACATTAAAAACTTTCTTGACTTCATTCTGTTACCGCTCAGCCTGTTTTTCTCTTGTAAAGGCCTGCGATCTGGCTTCTGAAAAGTTTCATTTGGGGAATAAAGGTTTAGCCTAATTTTTGTTAATTTTACCTCATTTCCTAATTTGTTATTTATTCGATTTCTTTTTAAACAGCAGCCACTGTGCTATATGGTGCACTTAGCACAATTAAGTATTAATCAATCAGCAGTTTCTCCCAAATAACCGCCCATTCCTTTTTTTAGAACCTGGATGGGTTTCTTGTTGTTTTCCCGGCTCTAGCAAAGCTAGATTTCAGGGAGTCATTTGTAATTCCGCCGTCCCGGGTCCGCTTACTGCTGTAACGCCGGTGATCCTGCATGCCTGCCGGGGAGAACGAAGCTACCGAGAGACCCACAGCAGCTTGTCTATTGCCCATAAAAATCAGTGGATGTGTGTGGCTGAATGACACGAGGGGGAAATGAGGCGTAAAATTAAAGAATCTTGCAGAAAGCGAGAACTGGAGAAGCAAAGCAACCCCCTCCCTGCAACGCACGCACACATACAGCCACACACACACACTCACGTACACCCGGTAGACTGTGAGCCGAAACTATAGAGCAGCCAGGGACAAAGCATGCTGCAGAAAAACGTTGCTGAAAGAGAAGTAAGCATTTTTTAGTCCCAAAACAGAGATGTGCTGCAGCAGCATCACAGCTTCATGCTTTCTGCCGCCCTGCCACATGCCGTCTTGCTGATCTGTCACTCCCATGTTCCAGGATTTCTCTGACCAGAGAGACATGGCCAAACAACCGGCCAGCGCTCCCACCGGCTACATCCCGGCAACCCGACGGAGCTGCGGGACTTACAACTAACAAACCGGACAACACGGCGCCGTGCCCGCCGCCCGCCCCTCACCATCACCCGGCACCTCAGCCACCGCCTGCGTGCAACGAGAGCAAAACTTTTTGTCCCACGGAAAATAAACCGGGAGAGCCGGACACAAATAAAGCATATGGGACGTTTAAAAGTACCCCACCAGCGGTCCCTGGATCCGTTGCCGTCAACTCGGCCTTCAGGAAAGATTCTGGCGGTTCGGCTCGCGGGGGGTCCGCGCAGTACGGCGACCCGCTCCGGGCCACCGCAGAGCAGAACAACACCGCGGGCAATTGGACGACTATGAGCCAGACCACCATCATACTGGGAACAGATGGAAACACGTCTGTTCAGCCCGGAACCGTGGCGGGGGTAAGTCAGCTAATGAACCGTTTCCTTAATGGAGAACGGTGGGTCCGAGAGTGGAGCGGCTGGGAGCAGGTGCGGTGTGGATGTTTTTCGTGTGTCGCTGATTTAAAAAAAAAAAAAAAAAAAAGCTGACTGGATTAACCTACTGTCTGCAAGCAGGGAAGGGGCAAGCCCCTGGGAGCTCTTACCACCATGCAGAGCCTTAGTAGTTCAGTGCTGCTGCTGATGTGTGATAGAGTGAAAGAGGAACAATCTATTGTGTGATGCTGAGCTGTAAAATTGTGGTTCTCGGGCACTGGTTTCTGGTTTAGGCACAGCAGATGTGATTAAAAGTGTTCATTTGTAACCCACGAACTTCCGACCTGAATCAGCGGATGTTTGTGACTTGCCATTCCTAGCATATAAAGGAACAGTCATTAGTCTATAATCCATAACGTAGATCGATCGTTTATTATCGGGGTGTTTTTAAAATAATTGTCAGGAAGACTGTGGTTTAGCCTAAGTGATATTAGCCTCATTATTTTATCCCCTGTTGTGATTCACGCTGTATTAATGTTTGCACTAAGCGACACGACAGTGGATAAATCATCTTAAACATAAACAGTTGAAAGCTGTACTTTGTGCACTGTGGGTAAAAGCTGACATTCTTGCATGTACTGAGTATTTTGGGTGGACCCTGAGCTGGTGTCGACCCTCTCTGCACTGCGTTCTGCACCAGTCAGATGAAGGCCTATCATAAGAACTTTCAAAACCCGCTTATGTCAGCTAAATATTCGGGGAATCAAATGGAAGTTGCTTTTTAAAAATTAATTAGTTGATTAATTAAAAAAGCAGCTGTGAGTGCAGAGTGCACATTATCTGTTTTTGTTTGTTTTTCAAGAAATATAAAACATTTTCTACTAATTGGTTTTGCTTGAGTTTTGCTCAGGGTTAACTCGTACTCTCGCGGTATTTTCTGGTGTTCTCAGCTCCCAGCAGACATGAGTGCTGTGGAGTCCAGGTGTTTCCCCGCTGATAGACAGCACTGTATTACATGAGACTGCGGATCGTTTCCAATCCCCGTGAGGGCGCCCCCTCACCCCGTCCCTCGTTCACACACTCACGCGTACAGGCGCACGCACATACACACACTCATTCCCATGCATAGTACAGTTTCTTGTACGAATTTACTTAGTCACATCCTGCGGGGCAGTTTTTGTTAGGAGGCCCGTTTGTTCCCATTTTATCAGTGGGCCAGTAGAAAGCTTCTTCACCTTCTTCTTAAATGGTGCATTATGGTGCAGCTGGATGCGATTTAGGCTCCAGGCTTCTGTCTCCAACTTTGACACTGAATAGTGAAAAGCATGTGTAACAGAGTCAAATTAAAATGAAGGAGAATTCCACTAATATTCAGCTCACATTTAGTCATGAAAAATTGTGACTACCATTAAAATGTCTTCTATTCTCTGACTGGATTTCTTTATTTTTGTGCTTTTCTAAAAGGAGTGATGCGTTTTCTTGGTTGATGTTCCTTTTTTCATATTCAGCCTTTATTAGCCTAAACCCCAGTTTCAGACTCAAGCTAAGTGCTATTGCAGGTTATTTTTCTCATGGTTTAACTTGGAATTTAGTGCGACTGTGCTGGGGGTTTTATTTTGGAAAATGAGTGAAATTTTCTTTTCTGCTCAGGCTGAAGACGATGACGAGAGGGGAGATGAGAACAAGGCCAGAGGAAACTGGTCCAATAAACTGGATTTTATTCTGTCCATGGTTGGTTATGCTGTGGGACTGGGGAACGTGTGGAGGTTCCCTTATCTTGCTTTCCAAAATGGTGGAGGTAAGAGTTAATTCCCGGCACAGAAACGAACGAAAAAAAGTCGAAATGTCTTCGTTTTAGTTCAGGGTTTCAGTTATTTATTGTTGTTTTCATTGTTTTGTTTTTTTTTACAGTTATTCCTGTAGGCCTTTATACCAAGTTGAAAAATAGCCTAGGTTATTATAATATACTAAAATAGCTTATCCAGACGAGGTTGTGTTTACTGGTTATTTACATAAAAACAGAAAAGAATAAAAAAAAAAAACGAAAATGACCTGAAAGTATTTAATTAGAGCATCATGAGAGCGGTGAAGACGGGACAGTAGCAACAATAGCTGCTTACATTTCAGCAGATGAGACGTATAATTACGTGAAGGGTTGCCCAGCTTCCATCTATGTTCATTTCCATTTGATTTTTGCATGGAGTTCATGCTGGTTTCAGGCTTTTCTGCCTCCTGAGCTCTGTAGCCTTGTGTTTAATCCCCTTCCAGGAGCCTTCTTGATCCCCTACCTGACAATGTTGGGCATTGCCGGGATCCCAATCTTCTTGCTGGAGGTGGCCCTGGGCCAGTTTGCCAGCCAGGGGCCCGTGTCCGTGTGGAAATGCATCCCAGCTCTGCAAGGTAAACTGTCCCGAGTAATCAGCTAAAAGAAAACTCAAAAATAAAACTCATTCTTATCATCACGAGTTCTCTCTACTTTTCTTAAGAGTAATTTTTATATTTCGTCTCATTTATTTATTTTAGGTTGCGGGATTGCCATGTTGATAATATCTGTCTTGATAGCCATATACTATAATATTATTATGTGCTGGACACTGTACTACCTGTTCGCTTCGTTGAAGGGCTCACTACCATGGGCTAACTGTAGGAATGAGTGGAACACGGTGGAATGTAAGGACAAAGACATACTGCTGTTAGGTAAGACACACACACACGCACACACACACACCCACCCCAAAAGCACCTCTCTCTCCACAATGCGCAATGCGTCATGGCTCCCTCAGCTGAGATGTCCTGCAGTATAATGAATCCTGACCTGTGATCTCTGCGGTGTTTTCATCCTCCAAACACTTTAAATTTAGAGCAGCTCATTTATCTCTGGGATTGGAATTTTAATGATTCAGGCCATTTATATGTAAGAAGGGCCTCAGTGTGATACATTATATTTGGAAACAAATATTTACATGCTTTCAGTTCTTTTTGTGTGTGATTATAGCAGCTTTTTGTCATTTCAAGCTGCAGTATACTATTGAAGTACTCTGTATGGATCTGATCATAAATGAAACTGGATAAAATTGTATTTTCACTGTCAGAAAATGTGCGGACAGGGGTTTAATGTCGATTTGCGTCGAAAGAATATCGAAATTCGCTTAATTTAGTCGAATATTTCCCCCTTTCTATTCTGTGAATTCAGCAAAAAAAACTGCTTGCTGGACAAATTTACTGTACAGGCTGAGTTGCTGCAGTGCTGCAGTGGGTCCGAGTCTGACCCCTTCTGGCCTCCTGCACGAACTACAGGCCTATTCAACACTGTAGTGTCTCGCCCACACTCTCTCTATGTCTCAGAAATGAGGAAAATAACAGCTAAAACACACCTTTTGACAGTAAGGAAAATCTCTTAATGACAAAAAACTCATTAAAGCTAACTTAAAAAACACACAGAGGATTAGTAAATGAATAAACATTAATAATGTAGCCTAAATAAATAAAGATGTCTATGTCTACCTTTTACACAAAGGAGGGTGCACAAAATTATTTAAACACTTTTCAATTATATATATACATATAGTATTAGAAAGATGTGAATCTGTTCATGTTTTGGGCTACTGTCATGCAAGGGTTTGTGTTATTTTGTCCACCTTGTTTAGTTATAAATGAATCCATCTTCCCCTGTCACAGAGCCTCTGGGCTGTTTACTGTAAAATTAAAATGCACATAATATTTCTCTCAGTTTTAGTATTTAGTATTATCTCTTGAATGTTAAACAAACCTTGGCATTTTCTGCAAAGCACACATGCGAGTCACGCAAAAAAGCACAATAACAGTTTTGTCTGAATATTTCTGTCTAATTTGTCTGCATGTTTATTCGTGCAGTCGAAAGCAAAAGAAGTTTTCCTTAAGAACGCATCTGAAATTATGCACATATTAATTTTTGTTATATTTTACTATGTATCTAAAGAACAGCAGCTTTTTGTCAGTCCTGCTTTTTATATTCATGTGCTTGTCCCCACCTTACTTTTGGTGTACAATTTGAGCTGACTGTAAGCTTAGTGGAACAGCAGCACCCTGCCCCTCCCTCCCAGTTGACCTATGTTGGTTTCTGATTGGTCCAGACTCGTGCATCCTGCGGGACAGAAACATCTCCTCCATCAAGAATTCCACTTTCTGTCTGTCTGCTAACGCTGCGGGAAACCTGACCAAACTGCTGAACATGACTGTGAACAGCAACAAATCCTACGTCAGCCCCAGTGAGGAGTACTTCAAGTGAGTGAATCTTAAAAACAGCAGACAGAATTTAAATTAAATGAAAGAAAAAAATAATACCAGTAAAAATGTATTTATAGATTTAAATTTTGCCCACACATGAGATAAAGTCAGATATTATTTCAGGTATAGTTCTTATGCAGTTATTATATACAATATAGGGCCTTCTGAAGGCTTCATTAGGCTCCTGGTAATTTCCAGTAAATGTACAACAACTGCAACTTTAGTACAAAATGCAAAACAAACGCAACTTGTTTTTATCCTAGAGATGAGTCTGTTTCTTAAAACAAGTTAGGGTAAGGCCTCCCACTGCACAAGAAAAGTTAGACGTAGCTAAAACAATGCAAGCATGTTGATTTATGTCAGAAACAAGTCTTACTGTGCTAGAGATATTAAGATGTGTATACATAAATGATGTTCTAAAAATAAATTTGTAGTGTGCTGGTAAATATATATTTTATCTTTGTTTGTTTATTTATCAGCACACAGTGCTGTATTTTCCAGGCTGAGTTTTGCTGTTTGAATCCCACCTACAGGTACAATGTGTTGCACATTTCTAAAGGGATTGAATATCCAGGAGACCTTCGCTGGCCTCTGGCGGGGTGTCTCTTCCTGGCCTGGCTCATCGTGTACGCCTCTTTAGCCAAAGGAATCAAGTCATCCGGGAAAGTAAGAAAACAGAAAAACTCCATAAACCAAACCTGTGATGCAGCCAGCTGTGGCCAGCTGCAGAAGGCAAACAGGAGGCGCATTCAATTTTCCATTAGCATATTATTTTCCTTTCACTGAGGAAAGTGATGAAGCCAGTCACAGAAAAGAAGAAAGTCCTGCTGGGCCTCAGCAAGGGAAGAAGGAGGTTTATAATAAATCCAACCATAAAAAATGGCCTTGGGTTCTATTTCTAATTCAGCTCTAAAGTAAGAAGATACCCAGACTCAGAAATACACAGAAAGTCAAGCTCAATTTTTTGTTTTTTTGTTTAAATCCAATCGATTTTGTTAAATGTCACCGTATGATTTTCCACTTTGAAATATAAATGTATTTATACTTTATTACTCAATAGTTAAAACCAAATTTATTACTTAACCCAAACTTTGGCATTGTCTCCCCACAGATAAATAACTGAATTTAACAAGGAATTTGAAAGATTTGGGATTTAGGTATTATTTACATTAAAGAAAATATTGTCACAATTTTTATAATGATTAATGTAATAAAACAGTTTTAGACCTTTAAATGTTTTGTCTACAACCTTTCACTGCACGCACACTTTTACAGGCAATAAAAGCTAATAATTCTTACTACTGATCTCATAGGACGCTTTTTAAAAATATGTAGCCAGTGTCTGACGGTGCAGCGTCTCCTTGTGGTGGAATTTAGGATGCACTGCAACACACACACTATTTTATTTTCTTGCTGGAAGAGCAAGATGCTGAAGAGTGAGGAAATGATCCATCCTTCATCTGGCATTTTGAAATTTCCCATCTTGATTCATGGAAAGACAACATACATTTTTCATGGGGCTGAAAGCATCCTTGTGTTATGCTGCCCTCTAGTGGACATAGAGGTGACATGCACCTGGGACAAGCTGATATTTCAGGTAATCAGAGGTCTCATTAACAATATGAATATCAAAGCCAGAAGAAATGCATACAGAAGAATAGTGTAAGAATGGACACTTCTTGTAGTAAAGGGTTGCTGTTCATTTCAGACTGATGACTCCAACAGGAAACAACCACTGATGTTGCCTAAAAAATGTTACTGTCATATTTAGAGTATTTTTGTTCATTCACAGTGTAATTAACTCTGACACTATAACAGTTGCTGAAAAATGTCAAAACCCACAAAATATATTTAAAAAAAATCTGAATCCATACAGTTTGTAAAAAGTGAGAAATATAAATGCTGACAAAGTTTTTAAAAATTCCTGATTTCTGGTCTTTTGTTTATTTAAAAAACATCTTTTCATCACTTATTGTTTTTGTGAGGCTCTCTCTCATTTTACCTTATGCTGTCATCTTTCTGCTCAGGTGGTTTATTTCACAGCCACATTTCCTTACGTGGTGCTGGTCATCCTTCTGATCAGGGGAGTGACCCTCCCCGGTGCCGCTGATGGCGTCCTCTACTTTATCACACCAAAATGGGAGAAACTCAATGATGCAAAGGTACCTGACATTTGCTCATTTAATTCCATAAACAGCAAAAACACTTTCCAGCACTTCCCTGCTCTTCCCCTTCAGCTTTTCCTGTCCTCTTCCAACAGGTGTGGAAAGATGCAGCCACTCAGATCTTCTTCTCTCTGTCGGCTGCGTGGGGAGGCCTCATCACTCTCTCTTCATACAATAAGTTCCACAATAACTGCTACAGGTAAACGCACAAAAGGTAAACTACGCTTATGGCAGACACATGCAAACTGTCACCATAGACACATGATAATGTGTATGTCTGATAGAAATGTTAGTAATAAATGGCACTACTTGCAGCGAGCTGTTCCTTGTTTCTTTATTTCCTCACAATGACATTGGAGCCACTCTATGCAGCAAGCTTTATATGCAGATATTCAGCTGCGGTCAGTATCATCTTGCTGCCATTCAGTTTGCTATCATAACTTTATGGCACCTAAAGATGTCTGTTTTCAAAAAGTGGTAAAATATTACTGTTTTCAGAGTTGTATGAGTAGCTGTCAAAAATGTGTATAATATCCTCTTCTTTAAGACTAAAGCACAGCACATAAATATAAATATATTTAAAATTCTTGCTGCCATTCAGTTTGCTATCATAACTTTATGGCACCTAAAGATGTCTGTTTTCAAAAAGTGGTAAAATATTACTGTTTTCAGAGTTGTATGAGTAGCTGTCAAAAATGTGTATAATATCCTCTTCTTTAAGACTAAAGCACAGCACATAAATATATATATATTTAAAATATAAGAATTTAGAGTATTATAATAATTTCAGAAAATTTAACAGTTGTTTGTTCATAGTGACTAATAAAATGGAGTTTTATTGCAAAACACCTGAACAATTTCTGCACGTGTTTTTGTAGAAAACATCTATATTTATTGTTTTCAGATAAGATAAGACATGCAGCCTCTTGTGAACTCCTGGAAAAGCCACTCAGAAAGGGTTTATTCCCACCACTAGAGGGCACTATTGGATCTCTTGTGGTCATGCCAGTGATGTCCTGTACCAAATAAAATAATAATTTGTTACCTGTGTTGTTTTGCAGTGTCTAAAGCAGATATTAGATTTTTAAACCCCCCCTCTTCTCTCTTTCTTATTTTCCATACAGGGATACTATTATAGTGACATGTACAAACAGTGCCACCAGTATATTCGCTGGGTTTGTCATCTTCTCGGTCATTGGCTTCATGGCACATGAGCTGAAGGTGCCGATAGAGAGGGTGGCTGATGAAGGTAAGACACAAAACCAGGAGGCAGCACCATTTGGCTGGCACTGTTCACTGAAACACATCTGATCAAGTTCATCCTCATACAGTATGCTACATATCTGTGTGTGCATGTCAGGTCCAGGCATAGCATTCGTGGTATATCCAGAGGCTCTGACCAGACTTCCCTTGTCTCCTTTCTGGGCAATTATCTTCTTCCTCATGCTCCTGACTCTCGGCCTGGATACCATGGTAACCACTTCTCCTTCAGTGTGTGTGTATTGTTGTATTTCCTTTATTAAATGGCTCATTTTTCTTCATGAGGAAAATCCTCCAGAGTAAGAATGTTTTACAGTTCTTCCAGTTCTTCGCTTCCATACATGCAGGATTTAAAGCCACAACCTGACATTCAGGAATTTAGCATGCACGGAAAAGTTCAACACCTTTATACACACACCTGTTTACCATCTTAGCCACAATAAGAAAATCACATAGAATGTGATTCGTCTAAATTAGCATGAGGACCAGAAGCAAAGGAAAGCTCAAAGGAAACACACCCCTTCAACACCTTTTTTAAATTTTTTAATTTCAAGTTATGTCTTGTTAGCTGCTGAGCTAGAAAATAATCCCTCCAAGAGTCAGTGTTGTTCATGGTAGCTTGGAAACTCACTGTGGGGGCTGATAACCGTTAACTGTGTCTAATGGTTGAATGCCAAGAAATATCCACTGTGATGGTGCTAATGGCTCCGATATCCACAGTGTCTTCTTTTTACATGTTTTAAAAAACCTGTAATGGATTTGTCAGAAGGTACTTTTTTTTTGTTTGGATGGAGCTGGACTAGCAGGTGTCTCCTGCTTTCAGTCTTTGTTCTGAGTCAGCACCTACCACACACATCTCTGCAGTGGATGTACAAGAATGAAAGTGACAAACATTTTTTCAAATGAATCAGAGCAAGATGAGAAACCAACCCTCTATACTAAAGTAGTGATTTTTGGCCTCCTGGGGCCAAGGAACTCCACAATATCCTGTCAAACCTACAACCCAGGTTTACACACCCTGCAGTCCTTTTCAGATAGTCATTCAATTTAATGTCAGTATCAAAAAATGTCATAAGAGGCACTCTACAGAAATGATTTTCTTAGTTTAAGCTTAGTCTTAGCTCAGACAAGGGAATGGATATCACCATAAATTTATCAAGTCAGTGTTCACGCCTATTTCTAACAGCATTTGTACATTAATTCTTGGATGTATTCAAACATTCTGAGTTTCAGGACATTCACAGCATTCCTTCTGTTGGTAATGAGAGTCTCTTGACTTGTGTTTGCTCCAAAGTAAACACTCAAGTTCGGTAGCACCATCCAGCCATGTAGAGATGCTGCACACATTGACCCAATTAACATAATTACTCATACACACCACCTACTGTGACTGATTTTAGCTGAAATTCATGAGCTCTCCAGGTACTTGAGTCAAGAGGGTGTCTGTGTGATTGGAGTGAAATAAAGGAAGTTGACCTTAAAGTTCTGAAACAACAACACTGAAGTAAATCTAACTTTAAGTACAAGTACAGTTAAGTGTTTCCAGCTTCCAGGTTACAGGCATGAGTATCTGAGGAGAGTCACCTTGGACTGTGGATGATTATGGACTAAAGAGGCCCTGAAATAATGTAGAGATGAATCATTAGTGAAAGTTTGTGGTCTCTATGAGGCTTGAGCCAGCTATGCAGCCTTCAGTGCACCACCAGAATATTTACAGCGATGAACTGTAACCTATCTATAAACTATTACAAATTGATTGGTTACATCTGCATTTAAATGATACACTGATAAACTCAAAGTTAAAAAAATGTAAAGCATTATTCAATTTATTAGTTTAGAAATGCATTTACTTATTCTCTTCTTAAGTTATTAAGTAATATGTTTACATTAAAATGTGGAAATACAAAATAAAACATGTAAAGGCTTCTAAATTTTGCAGTTAAGTCCATCTCACAAAGAACTGGTCTCCCGCTTTAACATTCACAATTTATATTTTGAAATACTTGAATCAGTATTTAATCACTTTATTAAATGATTGCAATGAAATATTTTGAAGATCTGTAAGCATAGTGTTACAATCCAGAATCGATTGTCAGAAACTGGCCACAGTGACCGCTTCTCTGTAAACTGTCTAGTTTTTGGAGGAGTTCTTCAGCTAGTTTTTATTCCTCATACAGGAAAACTAAAGGTGAGAAAAACCCAGAATTCAGCATAAAATATAACCAACAACACAATTTGTCATGAGTGTGACATTACGTCATTTGCCATTTCTCTTCAGGCTTCAAATTATTCAATTTCTCTAAACATAATAGAATGAATACTCGTGTTTTCACAAATGGTTAATAGCATCTTTGAAAGCAAAATTCCACCACAACACACAAGCAAGAGGCTTTTCGGCAGCCTTTGTGTCTTGTTTACTTCCTACTGTAAGTTTGTTTAAGCTCTACAAAGACTTTTAGGGTCTCTTCGGTAATTTTTACCAACACTGCTCTCACCAGTTTTGCTTTCAGCAGCATTGCAGGCTGTGTTCAGCAAAATACTCTGATAATCCCACTATACTATCTGCTCAGGGCCAAATGGCAAAGTTAGCAATTAGCCGATAAATAATATGGAGCGTTTAGCAGAGATAGACTCCAGAAGATTCCCTCAGGAGATGGTGGAGACAAAATTCTGTGTCAGTTGCTACACTTATTCATTCCTGATGTAACATCAGGGAACAAACACTTCAGTCTCTATGATGTTTTTAAAATCCAGAGCATCTCCAGGTCCAGTCCTGGGCAAACAGTTCAGATAAAACACCAGCTCCCAAAGGCGCACCGTGATGCTCCTGAGCCCAGCAGAGGGGCAGAGGGCGCGGTGGTGCATTAAGACACAAGTCAACAGTAACAGTAAATGATGATGTTTCTTTGCCTTGGCAGCAGCAGCTCTGAGAAGAGAGCTGGTGGTTTTGCTGTAGAAACAGCTCAGAAGTAACAGGGTTGGGATGTTGACGGGAAATTAGTTTGGGGAGCTCGAGAATGAAGGAGAAATGGCAGATCGCTCAGTGCCACTGGGTTTCTACATTATTCACACACATACACCCGTTATACCACCAGCCTTGCTCAATGTTTGTTTATTTATCCACACTGTCTTCTGGGTTCTGAGCCACTTCTATCATCTTGTTACACCACCTGTCAGGTCTCTCCATTAGCATCTAAATTCCTCATACTGATTTGTTTTTGAATGCTCGACTGCTCTAGATTAATGTTCTAAATCTGGTTTAGAAATGAATGAAACTGTGGCACATGTGTGTTTATTGGATGAACTGAAGTAGAACACCAGAACTACTGACCCGAGGCTGTTCAGATGAAAAACTGCTGCAAACTCATTGGATTTGTAATTCTGTAGTGCTGTGGTGTGTTTTTTTTAGTTTTTAATGTAGAATTAAAAAAAAACCTTGAACAGATTTTAATGTAATTCATTTAATTGATTGCTCAAAAATCAAAGTTTTTAAGCAATGTCCTATTTCAACTGTCATCATGCATATAATTAAGAGGGGGGAGGAGGACTTTTTCCTCCCTTATCCCCATCTCTTCCCTCTATAATTTTCACTTTTTCTCTGTCACATTTTCCCATCTCCCCTTTTCCTCCCACCCATGTCTATTCCAGTTTGCCACCATTGAGACCATTGTAACCTCTGTGACAGATGAGTTCCCCAAATACTTGAGGAAACACAAACCACTCTTCACCCTGGTCTGCTGCATCGCCTTTTTCATCCTTGGATTTCCCATGATCACAGAGGTACAACACAGACACAGAAACACAATGATGTCATGCCACAGCGGGAGGAATGAGCAACCTCCCTGTGCCCTGTGAATCTTTCTCTGAATAGGCCGACAGATTTCTGTATGTAAAGGGAAGCTGTGGCCTTCAGAGGACAGGCTCACTGAGTGGAACAAAAGAGACCCAGTCTTATTAAATCTCACTCCAGATAGCTTCAGAGGGCAAAGCCCAGCCTAAAGTAGGATCCATTCATTATCTATATCACTTATCCTGAAGAGGGTCACAGGGGAGCTGGAGCCAATCCCAGCTGACACCCTGGATAGGATCCATACATGTCATTTCTTATGCTCCAATACAAGCCAGTGTGACAGTTATTGACAAATCAGGCAAGGATTTCACTGTAAGCCTTTGATTGCTTTTGTAATATTTGGTTTATTCATAACAGAGTGGGATGTATATGCTGCAGCTGGTGGACACGTTCGCAGCCTCCTACTCTTTGGTCATCATTGCGATCTTCGAGCTGGTGGGGATTTGCTACCTATATGGTGAGTACAGCTGATCCTGTTTGGTCTCCTGACCTTTGGCCAACATGAAGCCCTGTGGCCTCACATCCCACAGCATGAAAATGAACAAACACACATTTTTGGCTTTGTATGCACCCTGAGGGTGACATTAGAGGGAAAGGTGCAAGATCACTAATATCACAAAGCTTATAGAGCAACTTAACACCAGGCAGTAAAAGTGGGGTTTAACTGCTCTCTCTGGATGAAAGTCCTAAGCTAAAAAAAAAAACAACAACAAATGGGTCAAAAGTCATCTGCATTGTTCTGTGTTTTAGAAATGTTTTAATATCTTCAAACATTATTGCAAGCACACCACTTCATGCTTCTGTGCATATGTGCAGATAGAGGTTGTTCTGCACTCAGTGTTTTTGAACGGCGCTTTATGCCGGGGCCCTTGCTGCCGATTGGCTTTTATTCCTTGGTGTGCATAAGAACAGTGCAGCGGCAATTATAAACACCACCTGGCCATATTAAAACAAGTGTAAAACACAGAACAGCAGGGAAACACAGATTAATTAAGACCTATTTAGCTTTCATTACTTTTTACCTTTGATTGCAATAGTAAGGGCTGTGGTCAACAGTGTGCTGTCTTACACCTGTAATCACGCTCACCAGTGATGTCACTGTTTACTGGAGTACACCTCTCCATCACTGCAAGTCAGAAGTTAAACTACTAAATTATTTTGTCAAAACCACCAAAGTAATATACAGTAAAATACACCACTACTGAACATATAAATGAAGTTCAGATCTAAGTTCATTTCTTTAGCAAACTAAGTAACAACTCATCCAGTTTAGACTTTTCTTAATGTACAACTGGAAATGTTGGCCTTTGTTTGAGGAAAGGTTACAGAGTCATAATGACTTAAGAATCCTCCTCCTCCTCCTCCTCCTCATTAAAATCTTCAGCAGATTTTATATACAGTAAGTGCACCCATTTGCTTTCACACTATGTCATGAACCAAAGTCTTAATAAAAGGAAAACCTTGACTTGACGGTGGCGCTCAAAGAAAAGTCAGGAGGTCACTAAACTCTGGGTAAATTTTAAAACCAGCTTCATTAAATGTTATGATACCATCCATCCCTGAACACAGCCACAGGCAAACCTTATTATTTATTCTTTAGTTAGATTAGAAATAATTATCACCTTGTCCTCAAGAGTTTTATTTTTGTTCTCCATTTTTGTGGAGACATCCAGGTTTATACATCCTTAGTCCCTTGTACAGGTCAGGCTCTCTTAAAAAATGTGTCATATCCAAGTCCAAAACTGAAAAATCAGAGTAATCTTTTGAGTCACTTCCTCAGACTTGACAACGCTCCTCCCGTCTCATAGGAGACATTACAAGCAGTTTTCACATGTCCAAACAGTGGAGGACCCTGTAATGATCTGCCAAACTCGGCTGATCATCTGTGTGAAATGTTACTCTAGCCTTGACCACTAGGTGTCTCTGTTGTTATGTGTAAGTCACAGACGCTGCCAGACAGCTCAGGTGAGTGTCAGGAGGCTGTTATCAAGAAGCAAACGGTTTTTCTCCGGTTTGTCAGAGGATCACTATAGGTGACATATTGAAATGATTGTGTGACTCTTCCCCTTCATATCACTCACTGTTGTCTGTCAATAAAGGCAGAGGAATGGAGCCATCTGCTCCCTTGCTTTTTCTCAGGGACAATAGACCCGCTGCTCCCCCCGCCCCCAACACACACACACTCACACTCTCACATGCAGACATAAAGATGGAGTGAATGTGCAGATCCCATTTTTAAGGGACATGGACACTATAAACCTTGGTCATTCTCTGTGCCTCCTGTTTCTGACTTTCTCCTGTTTATCTTCTTATATTTGATTTCTCTTCTTTTTTTCATGATTTCTTTGCAGGTCTGCAGAGGTTTTGCGAGGACATTGAAATGATGATTGGTTTCCAACCAAACCGATTCTGGAGACTCTGCTGGGCCTTTGTGACTCCAACAATTTTAACAGTATGTTTGTTTTGGTCATCTCACTCTCTCACAGACACATGCCGACATGTCCAGCTTAAAATGTTTCCATTTTCACTTCTGTCTTTCAAGTTCATTAGTTTGCAATCGGAAAGGAACATGGTAGAAACTGCTCCTGCTGTGGTGAAATTGAAAATTATTTCTTCCTTCCAAATCTTGTCATGTCAGAAAGTCTCAAGCTGTTTGTGTTGTTCACAGTAGTGACTGTAAAATTGTTTGCCATCAGTTCAGCTAATGCAAACACACATACAGTACATTTATTTCCAGAGAACTCATTTTCTGTAAACTGGCCACTCATTTGTAACATGCTGTGTTGCAAAAACTGTAAATTCCAGTGTACAGTATTCACTAGCATAGCAGCGATGGATGCTAGCCAGGGATAATTTTAATAATTGTAATGGAAACCACTGTAGCTCCAAAGCAGAGGTGATGATGACAAACGGAGCAGCAGTTGGGCCTGCTGGTCCTCTTGCCAGTCTTGAAGGAGATCAGGATTTCCACAGTGAGCTCAATAATGTGCAACTCCAGCTCATTTGCTTCTGTCTGCCTTGGGTTTCTGCTATTTTTTGTCCTCTTCTTATTCCAATTCTTCTTAGCCAAATATCCTGCAAATGGATTTTTCTTTTCACATCTATTTTTTGTACTCACAGTGCATAAAGTAATAGAGAAGGCCTCATTTTCATCAGCCATCCTTTTTTTTAGCCTCTATTGGACAGTCAGTGTAACATTAGCTACGTGTCCTGAGTTAATCTGGGGAGAACACTGACTTTGAAGTCCTTATTCAGAGCAGAAAACCATTATATGGTTCAACAGCACAAGGCTGCAGCAGTTAGAAAACAAACATTTGGGCCATTATTGTAGATTTACAGTTTTTTTTTTTCTTACAAATAATGATTTGCCTTTGATGAGCACAGAAATAAGTAATTTAACAATAATTTTACTTATTAAGTATCACTAGTGTCATTCTGGCTTTGGATAAACATCATTAACTATAGAGTGACTGACTGTGGGTTTTTCTAACAGTATTTGCATTGAACTCTAGTAAATTTTAATAGTGTCCCATAGCTACTGTACATACCCTTTATATACTACATAACTAGTAAGTATTATACAGTATATGAAGATAGCCTTCAACATTTTTAGACTAGTCTTTCAAAAAATCATTTAAATAATGCAGCAAAACCACAAATGAAGTAGCACAATGTAAAACTGAAATTTATCACAACTGATCCCTGATCTTTTGTTAAAACCAATTTGTCAATTTAAAAAAAGAGTATATGAAGGTTGGGTTCCTACGGAGCCTGTTTGGTGACATTCAGAAGAATAAAACATTCTGTAGCCACAATGTGCTATAAAGTACAGGAACAAGATATTATGTTGTTGCAACAATTTACAAATTTACAAAATAATATCTTCACATAATGGTGTTGAAGACACTGATGGCACCTTTATAGCAGTACATTTCATAGATATACGTAGCATCTGTGGAAATATAGATTAATAGCCGTTAGCGTAGATGTATAACCTTTGTCACTCCAAAACGAGAAGCACCCTGTAACATTGGGAACATGAATGATTTTGTTCCCATGAGTTATGAAGTCAAGGTCATGCATTATAATATCTCATTGAAACTTGTTATTTAGTTGCGGCCACAACATAATATCTCATTCAGACTCTTAATAATTTGTGGCTGCAGAATTCTTTCCTCCCAATTTTTCTCAAATGTCACCAGATGGGCCCCTTAGATTCCAGAACTGGGTGTTATGCTGGTTATTCTCTGCTGCTGTTTGCCAGTGAGTTTCTGCAGGAAGAAACTCCCAAAGTGGCTAAAAAGGTTTTCATTTCACATCTCATTTAATGTACATTTCCTGGTCTGTGCAGGGCATCCTAGGACTGAGTCTGTACCAGTGGAAGGTGATGACTTATGAGGACTATACCTACCCCACCTGGTCCATGGTTATGGGCTGGCTCATGGTCATCTGCTCTGTCATCTGGATCCCCATCATGTTCGTCATTAAGATGCACCTTGCACCTGGCACCATAATTGAGGTAATAATTGAGATGAAGCTGTGACAAGATATTGTCACGTATGTTTTGTCTCCTATGCACACACACACAGACACTGTCAGAGAAATCAATAGTCTCATCCTTTGCTCATTAGCGGGGAGAGGCGGGCTGAGTATTAATTTGTGCATTTTTCTGGGAGTCTGGCAGGTCCCTTTTAAATACTCTGATTAATAGATGATGGTGATCATAGCTTTGTGTCCTTATATCTCTATTTACCCAGCAGCTTTGAAAGCAGCATCAGTCACAGAGTCTCCACCAACTTTACATTTTAATTTCTTTTGTTTGCTTGACTCTAAAATATGCATAATCATTACAGTGTTTACGTGAGGGAGATTTTGTGTGGTATTACTGCAAAACAACTTCCAACACTTCAGCACTTGATATTGACCATTACAAACAGAATGAGCAGAGCAATAACTTTCATTCCTTGTATTAAATTGAGGTTTTTACTGATTTCTTGAGAAGGCATTGCACATGGCATCCAATTAGTCTTTACATCATTTCAGGGTCACATGAGTACACATAACCCATTATGGAGAGCACACTTAGAAAATTGGTGGACCTAGTTAACAATGAATATAAAACAAAAAGGAACCACAGACAGGAGGACTGTAAGAAGCTCTCAGGAGTAAACACAATGTAAGCAGGTATGTCAATAAGATCAAAATGGGGTTACAAAATGCACACAGTTTCAATAGTCCAGCAGAACTCTGCCATGAGGTTTCTGTACTCTACTCCCATTGCCTACGACACACCAGTGTACAGCAGCTTATGTCTGAGAGCGTGCTGGAGAGTGACAGCAGTAGATCCCTATAGGCTAGCAGTAGCTAGAATGCTAGGTACTAGCTGGAGCTAATATGGCATGGAGGAGGGAAAGTGTGGACAGGAATGAGATGGCCTTTGTAACACCCACAGTGCTGAAATGCACAGTATATGCACACACACACACACACACACACACACACACACACACACACACACATTTGTTTTTATTCCTCATGGGGACTTTACACTGACTTACATTCATTTCCTGGAGACTTACTATATTTTCAATCGTAGTCATTATTTGCCTCACACTAACCTAACCAAGTTGTCACCCTAAAATTCAATTTTTGATATGATGGAAGGCTAAGTCCCTGCAACGTGATTGTGTAAACAGGTCCCCACAGTGCAGGTAATGCCAGATGCACAGACAAACTCAAAGCAGCGGCCAATGAGTGCAGATGGACTTGTCAGACTGGGGTTCAGTGTTCAGGTGCCAGGGATGAACCCTTTAGTCCTACAGTTAGTTGATGCCTCACTTGCCTCAGCTGCACAAAATGAACCCATACAGGATGTCTGATATCTGTCAAAAGGAAAACATCCCCTCTGTATGAGGATGCTGTCCATTAACTGGGCAACCAATCACAGGATTGCTTGTCCTGTGATTGGCTGTCCAAACCCCATCATGTACATGTGTTCCTGTGTTCTTGAGCAAGACACAGAGCCCCAGTTACCTTAAATTGTTAAAACGTAGCTATTGGATTCTTTTTCTTCAGTTCATTTTTTCACATTTTGATGAGTGCAGATTTTGTAGAAGACAGCAATGCACTCTGCAAAAAAAAAAAAAAAAAAAGTAAGAACAGGAGCTTTAACAACCAAGCTACTGCTAGAAAAAAACAAACAAGTGTGTGCCCCATCCTTCACAACGGGTATCTGCTCTGGCTGTATAAACCTGCTGGTTGTTGCCTCTCCTCTTGCAGCGTCTGAAGCTGGTCTGCTCACCCCAGCCTGACTGGGGTCCTTTCCTGATGAAACACCGCGGAGAACGCTATAAGAACATGACCGACCCTTTGGGAACCAGCTCCCTAGGCCTCAAACTGCCCCCCAAGGACTTCCAGCTCGGCTCCTACCAGTAGCACCCAGGCACACCCACTATGTCTGTCACCAAAAGGAGGAAGAGGAGGAGGATGAGCGGCATGTCTGTTTTCAGGCTGACTTCTTCTTCATCTTGTCCTTCCTCCTCTCCCTGTTTCTCCCATCTGTACTTCATCACCCTCTTTACTTCTTGTCTCCCTCTCTGTTTAGTGGCAGTGGAAACAGGCTTCCTGCCTTCTTCCTTCTCTTCATTTTCACCACTTCTTTCCTCTCAGGGAGGAGTGGTTACCCAGGCGGAATCTACGCCTCTGCTCCTGCTTTGTCCTTGGTTAATCGGCTATCATTACCTGTCACACTTGACCACTGATTAATCCAGAACACTTTCCAGGGATCTTTATTCCAAGAGAAAACATGTGTCCTAAAGAGACACAGCTCAGACTGAGCAATATTAGACTCAATGTAGCTGCTCTTTATAGAGCTGTGTGTCTATGTGTGTGTGTGTGCCATTGTATGTAGAGATAATGAATTATATTAGTGAAAGTAGACACAGATAAAGAAAAGAGAGTTGAGCAAAAACAAAAACAACAGTTCAACAAGCTTGGAGGGTGATTTGTGTTTTGTTTCATTTGTGTAGAAAATTCCATCGGCAATACAAATAATATCAACTGCCTTGAAGAAGAAGAAGAAGAAAAAAAAACAGTATGCGATGTTATCACATTTTGTTCCTGTCCCTCAGTATATACGTATATTCACCCTAGCTACTGTTCAGTCGCTCTTGCTTTGTCAGAAATAGATTAGATTACAAGATCTGCAATTTGTGCCTCCTACGTCCCGGTAGAGTAGCGAATGCATCCTGATTACCACTCTTAGTAGATACACTTTGGCCTTGGATGACTGCAGTATGACAGAAGCTTGGGTCTATTTTTCTCTCTGAACCTGAGGGACCATTTGTGATACCCTCTCTGTTTCTGTATTTATTAAGTCGTAATCCTGTTATATTATCCTAGAATGTAAAGTAGAACATTCCTAACATAGGAAACCACTAGAGTAGTCTATCCATTCTTTAGTAGCAGATAATATGGCCATTCAAGTTTTTGAAGTCTCAAAAACCTGACCTGATAGTTACTCTGTGCATATGTTATAGATGGTGTATGTATCACTGTATGTGTTGTGAACTTGTCAAGCCATCTGTGAAAACTACTTTTATAATGTACATTACATCAGTAGTATAACTGTATAATATACTGTATGTATATATATATTTATATATATATACAGTAAGACAGATTGAGAGTTGGTATGTGTGTGTGCGTGTGTTCATGTCTCTCTAAACCCCATGTTTCTCTTGCTAGCTGTGTAATATCTTGTACAAAGTGTACACTTCTTAAAGCAAACTATCTTCAAGTGGTACATGTGTGTGCTGTCATGTCCTCAGAATTTTAGGAGTCGCTGCTATGTGTGAGTAGATGAAGATTAGACTAGAAAATGGTCTCCTTCTTTCCTGGAAGCATCCTTTGTCTCTTGTTTGTGTTAACGCTCTGAAGACCTCTTTGCCATTTCAGGCTTAGACCTCTTTCCTCTCTGTGCATCCTCATGAAGACAGGGTCTCAGGTATATTTGAATCCATCACACTACTCTGGTAGTTGTAGGGATAATAGCAGTCAGTGCATAAGAAAAAGAGAGTAGAGCCATCCTAATGCTAAATTATAATAGTAACAATGTGGAAGCAATGTAAAAGTCATCTACAGATGTAGCACACAGCTAAAGGAACTGTCCACTGCAGCTCAGCAGGCCGATAGGCTTAGCAGCCATGTTAAATGTGACATGGCAGGTAGCCAACCTTTACTTTGTGGTCTGCCAACCTTCAAAGTAGCACTATATGTGTCTACTCAGACACCAGTGCATTTTCATGTTAACACAAAGTCCTAATTGGCTTTATTACACTTTTAACACTGCGGGCATTTCATTCTTGAGTGGCTTAAGTGTTCTTACAGGAAGCTGCAGGTATGAATACAATAACAGCAGCTCAGAGTTTTAGGGTCTCCCTAACTATTTATCTAAGCCATTGCTTTTTGTAATCTTGAAAATGAAAATAGCACAGGTATGATTTAAGATGTTGTACAGTTTGAAAACAAAACATTATCAATTAATGAGCACAAACACCCTGTTGTTGAGTGGCTTGCTTGCTCCGCAGTGTTTAGTTAAGACAATAGTGTATTAAGCTCTATTCGCTCAAGCATTGTGTGTGTGTGTATGTATTAGTTTCACTGAAGTCCACTTAACTGTCAATCAGATGTTTGCATGGCCAGTGTCCCATTAGATTGCTGAAAAAAGCTGAGATTTGCAGGACTTTTTTCACAGGATGCCTCAGCCTGCTGCTCTTCATCTTTTCTGATGGGCACGAGGATGTTAGACCACCATTTGTGAATTTGAGCTGGCTAAAACAAACTTTTAATACTATATGCTCTAAAAAAATTTTAATCCTATCACAACCACTCACTTGAGAGCAGGGGTGGCCAAAGGAGCAGTTGGCATTTATGTCATTTGTTGGATGTAGTGGACAGTATTATCTTTGTAGTAAGATTTGAATGACAAAAGCCTTTTATGTCCTGGGATAGATTTTAATGGTTTTCTTTAGGGCTACAGTTAAACAGCTATGTGTATTTGTGTTTCACTGTCTTCATGGCTTCTGGACTTTCATTTTGAAAAAAAAAAATCCAGACTTAAGATTCAATTCAAACCACACTTCTCACAAGATATAACAATTAAGTCCTTGCATGTGCAGTTTATGTTGCTGTTACTCAGTGTCCTTGTTCCATCTCTCTCAACAGTATAGGTGTGCATGTTTACTTCAGGAAGCTTTTTGTTCTACACAGTGTTAAGAAACAGAGGGTTGCTGTTGTCCTTCTTACACAGGAGGAGGAAGAGAAAAACAAACTAACAAAAAAAAAAGTAACCAGCTATTTGCTTTGCCTGCAAGTCAACTTTAGGCAGTATAAGTAACCAAAGAAAGAGTACTTTAACTAAGGTTTGAGTGAAAACAGAAAACAAACTTTAGAAGAAAAAAGATTGTGTCATCTGCATATAGGAGGTTGAAATACTGCCATTCATATCACATGTAGTGTTCTGTGATGTTTGCCAATATGTTACAAAACATCTTCAGGTAACCATTGGCCTTATAGATGTCCTCTAATAGTAGAATATTGTATGTACTTCAAAAATAACACCACAGAATAGCTTATCGTCTGTCTCATATGGTACCTGTATTCCTATTATTATGTCTGTTGTGTCTTTTTGGCACTTTATTGTGTGACCTATGAATTCATGGGTTAAATTTCTAATTACTTGAGTAATGTCATATATTTCTGTGTGTCCGATGTGAGGTACTGCTGCCTATGGATATAGATATGTGCCTCCAAGCTCATGACATCCTTTGATTTGAAAATAGAAAGTAGATATATATGAGAAATATAATTTAAAATCTGTGCAGGATTAAAAAAAGAAGCTATATATATCATATATGTGAAATGCATTTATTTATTTTGAATGTCATCAATCTTTGAGGCCCTACCTCAGATTTTGTATTTATGTATAGAAATGCTATTGGATTATAGTATCTTTGCCAATAATAATATATCGCTATTATATCATGAAATGTATAATCTATGAATCAATAAATAAATGTTATTGTTTTCTTTGTTGTCACTGCTTTCTTTCAGATATTCATCCTGCTACGACAGTGGAGTTACAAATATTAACTAGCAAATTAGGTTAAGACAATAAGTTCCCTGTGTGATTCAACCTGTCAATCAAAGTTTTATTCAGCTGCAAAATAGCAGAAGGCATCATGACTGTGTGAAAATGTTACACACTGTTTGTTTACAGAAAAATCATGATCAAAGAGGAGGAAATTAGAAAGAGAAAAATGATTTGAACGCCCCTGCAGGAATATTGTTTGTTGACACAGTCCATGTGCTGCTGAACACCTCTCACTGTTGCAGACAAGCTTGCATAGTTCATGTCAAACAAATTCACAATTTAAATTAATTTTGTGTGCTGCACACTGTTAGTACAGTACACACCACTACAAAGCCCCTTAACAATGCTGGTAAGCAGAGAAACCATAACAGTTAGCCAAATTAAATTCCTCAATGGCTTTTGATTTGTTATAGAAAGGGAAATATATTATATACTATACAGTAAATGCAGCTGATTTAATAGCTGTAATTCAATAGTGATATTAGTGATAGACAGTGATATTAATGCAAACTTAGTGTATGTAAGAGCAAAACAGTATTTTCAATAGTATCTTTAATGGGTATTAATATTAAATGGCATTATTACCAGAAAAATAATTACATCTCATGACTTCTTCCTTCTTCCAAATTACTGAGGTTAACAGGGTGAGTGCTCTTTTCATGGCTCATAAATTGCAGGAAAGAGCCATTAATTTTTTGATGCAGGACTTTAGATGTTTACCTTATTATCCTTGGCTTTCTCTTCCCTGACAATCCTTTGTTTCCAAAACCCCCAGCAGCCACTCTAGATGATTAAAGAGGCCCTGTAGGGTGACCAGAGAGGAAAACCATTGGACCTCTGCACCTACAGTGCATTTATTTCATTAGAGGACAATTTCATTATGCTGCATGAGTTTATTATCCATCTTATTACCTGTTGATATTTTGTGCATTTAACCGATTTTAACTTCAGTGGCATCTTCTCTAAAGGTGAATTCATTCTGAATACCTTGATGCCTTTTGAATTTACACCCTCAATCTTTTAAGACCCTACCCCTTCAGCTTGCATTTATTATCTAACAGTATGACAACCTATCTAGTAGATAAAGAATTAAAATCAAGTTTATAAAAGCTACAAATCCGAATCACAAAAACGACATGCTTCTTTTATTTACCTAAATGTCACAACCTCTTCAGTTTAACCTTGTCAGATAGTAAGTCACAGTGGAATTTTTACTTCACCATCTAAAGAGAAATTCACATAAGCTTCAGAAAACAGAATACCTGCCAAAATATCACAAACCAGGAGAGAAATTATTTAGTTTCAGTCTAGCATCACGTGTCACAGTTTTCAGAAACAAATTGTTTTTATGCTTTTGTTTAGATGTGTTTCCTTTGTCTTATGCCACTCTCACCTGCCATACCCCACAACTATTTATCAGAAGGTGTTTCTCAGTTCTCTTATATGGGTAATTGTTTAGCTCACTTGTGTCTTTTCCTTGTGCCTTAGTCCTGCTCACACAAGATGTGAGGAAAAAAAATGCAAGGAAAACATGTGAGGAGAGAGGATTCCAAGACGTTATTAACAAGTGATGAGATGTGCTTTCCTCCTATCCTTCATCTGAAGTGTCTAATCATGAAAAGATTTCTGATAAAGGGGTGTGTCAGTTTATAAAAAGACTTCTGCAATGGATGATCTCGTGTATCCTCTAAGAGTTTCCTCACTTCTCAAAGCTGATATATGAGACTTGGAACACCCTCAATCCTTGGTTAACTGGAACGACTTCCAGTTGAGCAAGGATTGTGGACCGAGGAATGATCATATAAGAGACATGAGAAACAGTCAGTGTTTTGTTCTTCACGCCCTTCATTTCAGCTTTGGTCCTCTCCCCCGCCCTTGTCTTCATTGTCCATGTAGTCACCACATCATTTGTCTTTCGTCTCTTTGAGTGTCTA